AACCTTCTCATGACTTTCCAAGAAGGAAGGTGCTTCAGGAACGTGGTTTGGTTCATCCTGCTCAATGTTTTAATGGCATCTGCTCTGTAAAAATGCAGGGGGAAAAAAAAAATAAAGGAACTACACAACGCAAATGGTGAAGAAGAATAAAAATTTGAGGCCACCTACCCAGGCCTGGCTGAGTTTTTTTCCCCTGTGTTTAATTTAAATGATGTAAACCCTAAATTCTTCACTCTGGCTTTGCAAAATTGGAAGTACAGCTCACGAAAGGATGGGCTCAGCACAAATATTCCGGGGACAAAAAAAAAAAAACCAAAAAGGAATTTTGCCTTGAGGATAGGCCCAGGGAAAACGTCTCCGTGCCGAGTCCTTCCCGCGGGAGGACCGGCCACGGGGTTAAGCCAAGGCTAACTCCACAAAGCTCTGCTTGAGCCAAGCACAGAGGCGGCCACGGCGTTGCCCCTCCCCCAACCCACCAAGCACAGAGGAGACCACAGCGTCACCCCCTACAACCCACCAAGCACAGAGGAGACCACGAGGTCACCCAACAACCCACCAAGCACAGAGGAGACCACAGCGTCACCCCCTACAACCCACCAAGCACGGAGGAGACCACGGCGTCACCCCCTACAACCCACCAAGCACAGAGGAGACCACATGGAGGTGGCCATGGTGTTGCCCCACCAAGCACAGAGGAGACCACAGCATCGCCCCCCAACAACCCACCAAGCACAGAGGAGACACCAGCATCACCCCCCGACAACCCACCAAGCACACAGGAGACCACGGTGTCACCCCCTGACAACCCACCAAGCACAGAGGAAGCCACAACATCCCCCTGTACAACCCACCAAGAACAGAGGAGACCACGGCGTCCCCCCTTACAACCCACCAAGGACAGGAGACTACGGCATTGCCCTCCCTACAACCCACCAAGCACAGAGGAGACCACGGTGTCACCCCCCCTACAACTCACCAAGCACAGAGGAGACCACGGTGTCACCCCCCCTACAACTCACCAAGCACAGAGGAGACCACGGTGTCACCCCCCCTACAACTCACCAAGCACAGAGGAGACCACGGTGTCACCCCCCCTACAACTCACCAAGCACAGAGGAGACCACGGTGTCACCCCCCCTACAACCCACCAAGCACAGAGGAGACACCAGCATCCCCCCCCGACAACCCACCAAGGAAAAGGAGACCACAGCGTCACCCCCCTGCAATCCACCAAGCACAGGAGACCACGGCGTCCCCTCCTACAACCCACCAAGAACGGAGGAGGCCAACAGCGTCACCCCACCAAGCACAGAGGAGACCACGGTGTCACCCCCCCTACAACCCACCAAGCACAGAGGAGACCACAGTGTCACCCCCCCTACAACCCACCAAGCACAGAGGAGACCACGGCGTCACCCACCCTACAGCCCACCAAGATCAGAAGACCACAGTGTCACCCCCCTACAACTCACCAAGCGTAGAGGAGACCACGGCGTTGCCCCCCTACAACCCACCAAGCACAGAGTAGACAACGACGTCACCCCCCCGACAACCCACCAAGCACAGAGGAGACCACAGCATCCGCCCCTATAACCCACCAAGCATGGATGAGGCCATGCCATCGCCCCACCAAGCACAGAGGTGGCCATGGCGTCACCCCCCGACAACCCACCAAGCACAGAAGACCACAGCATTGCCCCCCCAACAACCCACCAAGCACAGGAGACCATGGCATCACCCAACAATTCACCAAGCATAGAGGAGACCACAACGTCACCCCCTGCAACCCACCAAGCACAGAGGAGACCATGGTATTGTCCCACCAAGCACAGAGAAGACCACAGCGTCCCGCCCTACAACCCACCAAGCACAGAGGAGACCACACCATCGCCCCACCAAGCACAGAGGTGGCCATGGTGTCACCCCCCGACAACCCACCAAGCACAGGAGACCACAGCATTGACCCCCCAACAACCCACCAAGCATAGAGGATATCACAGCGTCCCCCCCTACAACCCACCAAGCACGGGAGACCACAGCGTCACCCCACTACAACCCACCAAGCACGGAGGAGACCACGGCGTCGCCCCACTACAACCCACCAAGCACAGAGGAGACCATGGTGTCGCCCCACTACAACCCACCAAGCACGGAGGAAACCACAACATCCCCCCTGCAACCCACCAAGCACAGGCAGCCATGGCGTCACCCCCCGACAATCCACCAAGCACTGATGAGGCCATGCCATCGCCCCACCAAGCACAGAGATGGCCATGGCATCACCCCCTGACAACCCACCAAGCACAGGAGACCATGGCATCACCCAACAACCCACCAAGCATAGAGGAGGCTGCAACGTCACCCCCTGCAACCCACCAAGCACAAAGGAGACCATGGTATTGCCCCACCAAGCACAAAGACCACAGCATCCCCCCTACAAGCCACCAAGCATGGAGGAGACCATGGTGTCACCCCCCTACAGCCCACCAAGCATGGAGGTGGCCATGGTGTCACCCCCAACAACCCACCAAGCATGGAGGAGACCATGGCGTCGCCCCCCTACAGCCCACCAAGCATGGAGGTGGCCATGGTGTCACCCCCCTACAACCCACCAAGCACGGAGGAGACCACGGCATTGCCCCCTACAACCCACCATCACCTCCCTACAACCCACCGGGAGATGGTGGAGGAAGAGCTGTGCTGGTCGGTCACCTCCTCGCTGCGTCCATAGCGGTCCGAAACGGGGAGGAAGACCTTGCAGCAAGAGAAAGTATGGAGAGAGGAAGAAATAATGAATACGCACTGACTTTGAGACATTTTGGGGCCGCTCAAGTTTATTTTTCTGGTGTGAGGGAACCCACGGCTGCTCTGGAAGAACAACCGGCAACGCAAGCAGGTAGTGGAAGAGCTTTTAGGGGGTGTAGCCGAGGAAGAGGAAGGAGAAGCATTCAAAAGTTGACCTGTAACCATCAACCGCAAGACTCTGACCGCAAACGCATCCCTGGCGTTGCCCTGGTTTGGTTTTATTTTTGGTTTTTTAAACCCGAAACGAGGTGAAACCAACTTTTTTTCCTCGCTTGGAAAAAAAAAGACGACGCAGTTTTACTTCATCTGGCTGCGGTGCCGCCCGGCTGCGCCGCTCCTCTCCCAGCCCCAAAATAATCCCTCAGCGTGGGATTAAAATAAATAAATAATGAAAATACATTTCCCCACGTGGTTTTTAAGGAAGGAAAAAGAACAAGAGGAGACGCTTTTATGTGGGAAAACCCCCTTTGGGATCCGAGTTCCTCCACCCGAGCTCGGGCCGGGGGAGGAAGGAGGGGAGTTACGGGGTGGGAGCGTTTGTCGACGCGAATGACGACGCGTGGCTTCGCTACGGAGCGGGCAGGAACCACCCCCCCGGGGCGAGACCATCGAGCGTTTCCCCAAAATTCAGGAATTTTAGGGTTCAACTGATCTCACCCTGAAGCTGAGATCTACCCGGCGATGAGCCCAGATGCGCTCGCGACTCCGGCGAACGGAAAAGGATAAAAAAAGAAGGATAAAAAGGATTAAATAAAGAAGCGCAACGCTTGCTCTGCGCCGCTTCCACCTCTTTTCAACCCAAAACTTCCCCGGGAGACCGCAGCTCCTTCCCGTGGGGCGGGAATATCCACCACCCCCCCACACCAGCATCTGCGGGCTGAGCGTCGCGATAAGGTTTTATTAAAAAAAATTAATCAAACCGCACATTCCTGAGCCAACATCGGATCCTTGCGCTCACGGCGTAGAAAATAAGCTCCAAACCCACCCCAAATATTCGATTTTTTAAAGATTTTTTCACACCACCCCCCCCGGCTCCCTACCTTCCTAATTCTTCACTCGCGTCACCGTTAATTTTTCCCCGCAAGGCTTCGCCTCTCAAGAAGCGGAAAAAAAAATAATAATAAAAAAAAAAATCATCAACAGCAGAGCGAATCGCGAACGTTTCGAGCTGACAGCTCGTTAAGAAGCTCGTTTATTGCCCTTCCTTTCCTGGAATTGATTTATTATAAACTTCAGAATTCTTCTTTTAATAATCCGTAAACCCCGCTGGCCGATCGCGCGGCGAATCGCCGGGATAAATCAACTTCCCAGAGCTCAAAAGAAGTTTTAAGGTTTTATTTTAATTAGCGGCTCTGACGTAATTTAAGTTCCTCCGCTCGTTTTTCTTTCGGATCTCCGTTATTAAAGCCAACGCGCCGGCAGACAATAATTAAATTAAGCTGACACCATACTGTAAGAGACTATTTAATTGCTGAAGCGCACCCAGGTTTGTTTAAACATCTAATTGCTTAATTACACGCGTGTGTTCGTTTAGCATTATGCAGATTTTTGGGAGCTGCTCATCCCCTAAGTAAGGCAAAAACCTGACCTACGCCTCTCGCATTTAATTCAGCATCACTTC